CATCAGGATGTTTCTTCCCGCGCTCCTGCAATTCCAGACATACCCCACGCGCACCCCACCTTCTCGTGACCCCGGGCTCTATCCTCACAATTCCCGAGGCTACGAACCGGCAAGCCGTTACAGCCGCGCAATCAGCACCACTTCCAATACGCATCTTCTCCATTACGCTCATGACCCTCCGATGACCGCCTCCGTCCCTCTGCGGCCCTCCAACTGCTGGACGATCCTCTTCTTACCTGCGGGTATTTATAGACCTGCGCTCATGACCCGACCTCTTGTCCGCCGTGCCGCTGACGCACGCGCGATCACCTGACGGTGCGCGAGCCCGGTCCGTCGTAGGCTCTATTGAAGCCCGCCATAAGACGCCGCCCAACACCTCACCCTGGCCCGCCCGCGTCCTCGACGGAGCGCAAAAAGAACGTAACGCGTCGCCCCGTGGACCGATTAGCAATGCCCCCGAAGACGGTCCGGCACGTAGTACCTGGTTCTCGAGGGTCACAAGGACGTAGCATCCACTGACGATGTGCTTCGACGCGTACCGGCCAGCGGCGCGTCCAGAATTTTGGAACGCCTACATATATCGCGATGACAGAACGATAGGCGGGTCCAACTGCTGCAGGCCCACGCTGCTGCTCGGACGTTCCCTCGTCATGACGCCAACTCGCTGTGGCTTAGCCGCGACTGCCTTGGGGCTCCTGGTGTTTGTGGGGGGCGCCCTCGCCATCGGGCAGCCCACCTGCGTCGCATTCAAGTCCGCGCCGTCGACGTTCCCCATCGTCAACAACCACCGCGCGGCGCCCATCCTCCTGTCGCCCGACGAATGGCCCGGGGTCCAGCGCGCCGCGTCCGACTTCGCGTCGGACATTGAGCAGGTGACGGGCGTGAAGCCCGCCCTGCGGAACGTCACCTCGCTCTCGAGCCAGGCGACGTCGTCCTTTGGCGCGAACGCGATCATCGTGGGCACGCTCGGGAAGTCGGCGCTCGTCGACGAGATCGTGAACAGGACGAAGCTGGATGTGTCGTCCATCCAGGGCAAATGGGAGGCCTTCATGGCGAAGGAGGTCGCGAACCCTCTCCCTGGTATCAAGAGTGCATACGTGATCCTCGGGTCGGACAAGAGAGGGACGATCTTTGCTTTGTACGATCACTCAGAGCAGTTTGGTAAGTGGTCCTACGTTAGCACTCGCCACAGCACCAGCTGACTCGGAGTCCAACAGGTGTATCTCCCTGGTATTGGTACGTTCTGCACACCTCCGTTCGTGGCCTGTTTGCTGACAACACGGCGGACTCAGGTGGGCTGATGTCCCCACCACAAAACACAACGACGTGTTCGTCAAGTCCTCCGGCTGCGCACACGGGTCCCCCACGGTCCAGTACCGCGCCATCTTCCTGAACGACGAGCAGCCTGCTCTGCAGAACTGGGCGATGGAGAAGTTCACGAACGGCACAGGTGCGGCGCTCACAGGCTCACCCTTCAACCACTTCTTCTACACCAAGCTGTAAGTGCTCTTATGGCAACCAGACACTTGGGATAGGGCTGACTGGATGGGAAACGTCAGCTTTGAGTTGATCCTGCGTCTCAAGGGCAACCACCTCTGGCCGGCGCAGTGGAGCAGGTACGCTTCTCCACACACATACATCCTCTCCCGTTACAGGAGCTTACAAGGCCTTCGTTCCCCCTAAAGCGCATTCGGCGTAGATGACGCGCAGAACCAGGCCCTCGCGGACTGGTACGGGATCGTGATGGGCACGAGCCACGAGGAGCCGATGATGCGCTCCATCCCCGTCGAGTGGAACCTGTTCGGCAAGGGCGCGTGGGACTACAGCTCGAACGCGCAGGCGATCTACGACTTTTGGGTCGAGGGCGCGAAGCGCGCTTTGCCGTACGAGAATATGTGGACTGTTGGCATGCGCGGGAACGGTGAGTGTCTTTGTGTCGTTTTCGATTGTGCGCGGACTGATGGCGTGACCTGCAGGCGATCGTGAGTGTCACTTGAAAAAGTGCATATACAATGTTGAATTGAGCTCACGCGGATCTGCGCTACAGTGCCGCTCGAGTCAGAGGGAAACAACATCGAGCTCCTCGAGAAGGTCGTCTCCGACCAACGCCAGATCCTCATGAACGTATCCAACTCGACAGACGTCACCCGCTTCCCTCAGGTCTGGACTCTCTGTGAGACCAAGTCCGAGTCTTCTCTCCAAGAAGTGACGTCTCATCCGTTTCTCAGACAAGGAGGTCGAAGGCTACTACGACGATGGTCTTCGCGTCCCAGACGACATCACGCTCATGTGGACAGACGACAAGTAGGTGTCGAATCCGGTGAGAGAGGCAAATGGCGACTGACGCTGCGCGTAGCTGGGGTAACGTCCGGCGCAACCCTCTTCCAAGCGAGCGCAACAGGACTGGCGGGGCTGGTGTCTACTACCATGTGAGCACTGCACGAAAGCGGCTTTCATTCCCTGCGCTGCGTATTGACCGGGTGTTCGATAGGTCGACTACGTCGGAGACCCGCGAGACTACAAGTGGATTACCGTAAGTGTGCTTCGTCGCTACCCACCAGTAGACAGCTGATCTTGATGCCTAACACAGAGCAGTCAAATTGAAAAGGTTCGCGACATCACTCACACTCCGCCTGCTCCTTCAGACTCATGATCCTCCGCAGACCTTCGAGCAAATGTCCCTCGCCGTCGCGCGCGACGCCGTCAAGATCTGGGTGCTCAACGTCGGCGACATGAAGCCGTACGAGATGCACACCGAGTGGTTCCTCACGCTCGCCTGGGACGCCTCCCGCTGGACGCCGCAGAACTACCCGAGCTTCGTGACACAGTGGGCGCAGCGCGAGTTTGACCTCTCCGCGCGCGACGCCGACACCGTCGCAGCCCTCATCCACAACGTCACGCGCCACAACATGCGCCGCAAGCCCGAGTTGCTCGACTCGACGACGTACAGTCTAGTGAACTACCGCGAGTACGTGACTCTCACTTCCACTTGTGGATGTAGACAGCGCGATTCCTGATACTCGACGACTGCACAGGGCGGACAACGTCGTGGCGGAGCTGCAGAGCATGGTCGCGGTGTCGACGCAGCTGTACAACAGGCTGCCCTCGGACGCGAAGGCGGCGTTCTTCCAGCTCGTCCACCACCCGATCCTCGCCACGAACACGCTCACGCGCATGTGGATCGCCGCGGGCCAGAACAACCTGCGTGCGTCGCAGGCGCGCCTGAGCGCGAACGATCTGGCGAACGAGGTCGAGAGCCTGTTCACGCAGGATGCCGCTTTGGAGAAGGACTACCATAGTCTGTTGGACGGTGCGTACAGCGTTAAATGCAAATGGTCGTAATACCTGGAACTTACGAACCATTGACAGGAAAATGGTGGGCACCCACGAGTCGACAATAAGCGTATCGTGCTCACGGAATTACAGGGACCATATGATGGATCAGACACACGTTATGTACTACTACTGGCAGCAGCCCATGACCAACACGTACGTACCTCTACAGCACGAAGTACAGCCAGGACTGACGACACACCAGGATGCCCATGATCACCAAGGTCCAGCCGTCGAAGCAAGCTCTGGCAGGTGCCATGCGCATCGTTCCCGAGGGTTCTATGGGAGCATGGTGGGTCCCTCACTAATTCTCATTGATCGTCGTACTGAGCCCCGCATGCAGGCCCGGAGACAACCAGAACAACTGCGCACAGGGATACGGCTGCGGAAACCCCGCGCTGACCATCGACCCCTTCGTCCCCACCGGCAACCGCTTCGTCGACGTCGGCGCAGGCGGCCCCACGCCCTTCACGTTCACAGTGACGAGCAACGCCGAATGGGTGAAGATCTCCCCGTCGATGGGCTCGATCTCGCCGAGCAACCCCGAGCAGAGGGTGTTCCTCTCCGTCGACTGGAGCAAGGTCTCGGGCGCGCAGACCGCGTCGATCACGTTCACCGCGAAACCGCAGAACCAGTCGCAGATGTCGGTTCCGATCGCCCTGACTGCGAACCATACAACTGTGCCCAGCGGATTCAAGGGTTGGTTTCGCCTAACGCGCACCTTTAACATGAACAATTACTGACCAGCCAACCCGCAGGCTTCGTGGAAGGCGACGGTGGCGTTTCGATCGAGGCTGCCCATGCGTCCCGGAACACGACAGTGCAAGGTATCACCTGGATCGAGCTCCCCGGCCACGGGCGCACGCTCTCCGCGGTTACCCCCTGGCCCCGCGGCGGCGACGAACTTAACTTCACCGCGGGTACCGGTCCGAGCATGTAAGCATCCTACCTCCACCCCCGAACGTGTACGAGTCATCGCTGACAAACCCTCCACTACAGTGAGTACGACTTCTTCCTCTTCAACACCAAGAACCAGGGCGGCAACGTTACCGTCACCGCGCTCGTCTCGCCCTCCCTGAACACGCTCGGAGACGACCGCCCTCTCGGCCTGGCGTTCCAGATCGACGACGGCGCGCCCAAGACCAACTACTTCGTGCCCAAGTCAGTACCAGGACAGGTTCCCGCGCCGTGGAACGGGAACGACGGCTGGGTCGCGAACAGCATCATCTCTGTCCCCGTCGTGCTCCCTGTCCAGCCTGGGGCACACACGCTGAAGGTCAGTAGGGTACCGGCAGGCGTGCTTCAATGGGGTCGCTGACGTGCTTCACTTTCAGGTTTGGATGATCGAGCCCACGGTGGTACTCCAAAAGATCGTCATCGGTGAGCACTCTAGTAGCACTTCTGATACAAACCGCTGACGATGGCTCCTGCGTAGACACGGGCGGTGTGCGGTCGAGTTACCTAGGTCCCCCAGAGAGTATCCGAGTTTGAGACGAACGCCTTTACAGGCGCATGGTGTCTCATTCTAAGGCAAGACTGTAGCCTCGTTATCTGTATTTGTACTTCCCCAAGGTGGTGTGTCAGACAGAATGCGATCTCGCAAGTACATTCGGTTGCTGCCGATGCACTGCATGGAACGGTCGCCAATGCCGCGGGCGCTACTGTAAGCTCTCGTCGTCTAATGGCTATGATATCAGATTCCTACCATTATTGGGACGATCTGAAGGTTCCGGGTTCGAGTCCCGGCGGGAGTAGCGTTTTACACCGGTTCTAGTTACATTTTTGATCACTTTTGGTGGTCATGGTCGTACGGTCGATGAGCAAACGCCACCCGATATCGGCGGGGCCATGAGAACCTGTGAATGGGTGACCGCGGAACCGGCAGAGCACGTGAAACAGGCTCCGAGAAACTCGGATTTGCTTCTTGGTTCTCAACCGCCATCTACCCACGCGGCTCGCGCACCGTCCTCGTCTCTGTCCGGCTGCTCGTCGTACTGTCTGTTGTACTATATCTGACCTATGGCTGGGAAGACTCTGAGCAATGGCACGCTGAGTCTGCGGTTCATGCAGAATGCCCAGCGGGCAAAGCTCCAGGCGCAAGTCGAACTGGAGCAGGCGAAGATAAAAGACGACGCGGAGTGGTCGGTATCGCAGGAAATCCGGGATGCGTGGGGAATCGGCGAGAGCTCTAGCGCGAGCTCCAGGTGCGTTGCGATCTCACCGTTGGAGGCGCGATAACGAGCTCTATTCATTTCCGGCCGTAGTAGCAATGTCATGTACGAGCCATCATATGTGCCGTTCATCTTTCAATCGGACGCGGGAGAAGCGTCTTCGAGTTCACAAGCGGAAGAGGGACCGAGGCCAAGAGGCCGCCGCACATTCAATGCAAGAGGAGAAGAGGTTGTCCAAGAGGTAAATGTTATGTCACCTACAAGAGGCGGAGCACTATAATTCACACGGTTGCCCCAGCAGAAACCGCAGGATGAGGACGAGCAGGCCACCCAGGATACCCCAGACGAGAAGCCCAAGCCTGGTGCGAGGTTCGAGAAAAGGCCAACTTCGATCTCTGGTTTCAAAACGCCTCTTTCGACGACGAAGGACGGGAAGAAGGGACGCACGAAAACAGCGCAGATGCTTATCCGAGAAGACGTCTCGGTACGGCCACCAGCGTCCATGCAACCACCGCCACCACCTGCCGTGAAGGTGGAGGACGGTTTTCTCAAGCCCGCAGGTGTCGATGAGCCCGTACGCACCGCCCGCAAAGCGCCTGCGGGCGAGGGGCGCAAACGGGAACGGGACCAGGACGGCGGGCCTGATCGCCCGGGATCGGAAGGGAAGAAGCGGAAGAAGAAGAAAGACGCGAATGCGGCATGAGCAGGTTTCGCCCTTGGTCCTGCCTGTCCTTGGTTCTCTCCCTCCGGACGCTTTTCTCTGGCAACACGAGGCTCTGACGGCCGCGCGTTGTGGCGTGGGCTGCCGCGCCCCCGCCGCTGTGTAATGCATGTTGTTGTACGTGATACGGGCTATCGTCCTTCCTCTACCGTCCTCTAGGAGCTTATATCCACCGTAACTAGCGAATGCTTCTCTGGATGCTGTCTGTCCGCCGGGAAACCCATGACTTTGCGGCTCATGTGTAGCGTCGCTTGCGGCACACATCTCTCTATACTAATGAAGGTTCTCGGGTTTGTGGTGGTACCTCGAATCTGTCAAAACGCTGGCGCTCCGTTTGCGGGTAGGAAGGCGTGCCGCACGTATCACGGTGTACTACGTCGGAACGTCGTGTAAGATGACGAAAGCATCGCGCTCCGCGTCTCACTATTACCGTCGTTTGGCATAGCTCCCCATACAGTCTCTCACAGATGCGCTATCATTAGAAGCCACAGCAGGAGTTTCGTCTCACTAGGTAAGCACACCCACGTATACGACGCCCTTTGCGCTCGCCACATCGTCGGTGACGTTGACTTATCGATGGCTCTACCACTAGTCGGTCTCTGTGGCGTATCTGCGTACGTAGTTGCAAGCGCAACCGACGCCAACCTCGTCGACCGTTTCCGTCAATCCCTATCTTCTACGGGTCGCGATTATCATCCCTCTGTGGGCCGTTTTCACGACCCGATACCGGCCACTTTCAAAGAACGTCTCAGCTGTTATCTACAGTACACCAGGCCCATTCCCTCGCCGTCCCACGGCCCAGGCCCAGCACACGTCGGCTCCGCATCTGCTGGGAGCTGGTTCGGGTCGATGCCGTATACGTAGCCCTCTGCCGACGCAGTGCTACGTTCATAGCCTCGAACTCTGAGCTTGCGCCTCGCAAGCGATGTCGAATGGGCGTTGTTTTACGGTATGCCTGCTCGAGTTATATCGCCGGCCGGTCTGCGCAGGGACCAATCAGGTCGGGTGTATATGATCCCCTTGCTGGAAGTTGTAGTTGCTTAGGTGAGTGGACCCCGTCTACCTATCGGCCTCGGTCTCTCCAAAGTACCAAGGGTGAAGGTTGGGTCTATGACTGCCAGCATGGTTCATGTCCTCGTGGTTGCATTGCATTATTACTGAACGATCTAGCTGAAGTCTGTCACTACGATCTCAATTACAGAAATAATCTCCGTGACATGAGATGGTTTACGGATTATATGTCCGCTGGCCACGGACGATGTTGATTCTCATAGCGAGAAGCCCCACTGAATCCTTCCCTCGCATATTTTCGTTGTCGTCGCTCAGCGCGCACCGACGGAACACCTTCGAACAGCTAGGATGCATCGAGGTCCGAGCCCCGATGCTAGCCAGCTGTCCCACTTCCCGGACGACACCGTCAAACACTCCGGGCCAGAAAACAGCGGACGTATCCCACTCAACCAGCGTCTCCGCAAAGTCACCGATCAGGGCCCACCTTCAGATGACGCGTCGCGAGAACCTGCAGAAGGAGGAAGTCGAAGGAGCGGATCCGTGGGCGTCCGGCCCAACGGGCGCTGCCTCGAGAATTCCGCGGGTGTCGTAAGGCCACGACGGCCCATCCGCCATTGGCCGTGCGTCTCGCGCCGCTCGCGCTGCCAGTGCCACACAGCGAATGGCATCGCGCCGGAAGCCTGCGGTGCGGCTAGCTCGGCGGTGGTCTGCGTGTCGAACGCGTCTTCCTGACGGAATGTGCAGGCCACAAGGTCCGTGCTCCGAAGGCCCGAAGCCTCGTACGCGCGATGCGCCCGCCTCAGAGGGGCAGCCCATCGCGCTCGGAGGCCGCCACGGGGAACGAACGCTAGCAGCCTCGACCTTCTGCAGCCGCAACGCGGCGTCGCTTCATCGGGAGACGCCGTGCGACGTCAGGGCCCACGGTGGGATGGGTCAGCTAGTGCGACGATGCGTCAGCCCGGCGTTATGCCAGCGAGCAGAAGCCCACCTGAAGCAGGCACTCGGCGTCCAGAACCGCCCCACTGCTGAAGCAGCAGCAGCAGCAACGACCGCGCCCCCAATCCTTCGCGGAGGCAGAACTGCGGCGCACCCTCGAACGTTCAACGCTTCCCGCGCGGAGCCAGAGGCATGCGGTCGGCGTCGCGCTGGAGCGCCGCAGCGGAGGGCGCCTCCGAGCTCCTAGGTTCGTGACCGCCTAGTCGCCGGGACGCACGCCATGGGGTGGGTGCAGTCCAGTCCTGCATGGTGCATCGCGCCCGGATGCGCTGCGACCGTGTGCCGTGGCTGAGGCACCTCGGCGCCCCTGGTACCTTACTGCTCGGGCCCTCTGCTGCTTCTGCTGCCATCGAGCAGGTGGACTGCCCGAGTTGTGCGGGGCGAGGGGCGCAGAGCCTGAGCCTGAGCTTGAGCTAGTCGGGAGATGGCGATGCCTTCTGCGCCGCCTACGCACTATGCACAGGCCCCTTGTGTACAATATTGCATTGTAGGCGTCTGGATGCGCGCACCGCCGCAGGAGATGACTGGTGGCGAGTTCAGGTCGCTGCTAGTGCCGGTCCGTCGACGTCACTGCGCGGCGGCGCGGCTCGGAGTGCTGCTCCAAGCGACGACGCTCCTCTCGGAGGGAGTCGTGCACGTTGCACGCGAGAAGGAGGTCGGAAGCGGATGCGGCAGGGACGGGGTAACAAGCTTTCCCTGTGGATGCTCCGGCATCTGTCGCTGTCGCGGAGTTGCCGCGCCTGACACCCGCGCCGACGCGCGCAGAACGACGCCGAGAATAGCCTCTGGTGCGAGCACTATCGAGAAGCGCGCTCCGGCAGAGGGCGGATAGCGCACTAGGTTCATAAGTAGCTGCTTGTATTCTTGTCCTTGAACTCTCTGCATCTTCGTAGTCGTCCCGTCCCAAGTTACCCGCATGTGAAGGAGAGAGCTCAGCGGCGTAGTGGCGAATCCGGATACTTCACCTATCCCTGTCGTGAAGAGCGCCGACTCGGATCGTTCTGACATGATCAAACCGAACCTTGAGGGTTCTGTCAACGATAACCCGGCAAGCGTTAGCTCGATGCCTAGACACGCAGAGCATGCGTGCTGACGTACCAGACTGTCGCTGCCAAATACCGGGGACATGCCACACGGATGATGCGCCGACCTAGTGAATCGCCAGCCGCCTACCGCCTTTCCTGCGGCCTGCGTCCTCGGGCTTGTAATAGTCGTTGGCGCCTCACTCGTCGGTCACACCGCGGCTCGAAGTCATATGCTAACCTGGCTTGGGCGTGAGATAGTGGTGCGGAGAAGGGCTTCACAGGCCGAGTACGCCCAGTACGGCAGGAGAAAAACCTCACGAGGCAAGGAGCAGTGCCCTAGAAGGGACTCAGCTGCGAGTCTCGGGGTGACGGAGGATCAAGTTCTCGCGAGTGATCAGCGGTGCTAAGGGCCCTACCCCTGCACGCCCATACGACATCATGCGTTCCAGGCGGAACTGGGCGGGCCAGTGTCCGCGCCAAGGACAGTCGCGGTCGGAGCGTCGTCTCGGGACAGGGTCCAGTGGCGAGACCGGGACAGTCGGGTGGCGGCGAGGTGGGATTGATAGTAACAGGTCGCCCCGCTCCGCCACATCAAGCGTGCTGTATGTAAGTCCTAGCTAATGTCGGAGGTAAGCGTGCGCGTGTTGCCTCAAGCCTACCCAAGTGGACCTACCTATCACCCGAGCCCTCGGCCTCAAACTTCGACTTTCAAGCTTGACCACTGGCAGGGCATTGGTTCACTTTACATGGCCACAATGGCACAACCCCTGTGTTCGGGCGCATGTATCGGCTTTGCGGAACGGAGGTAAGCAGTGGTGTATCGCTAACCT